GGTTACATGTTTGCGGTGTGTGTCCTTCTGCGTCAGGAACGACATCCAGCCCTTTGAAGAGTGTCCCTTTTGCTGCAGCGCCAAGTCAGAGCTGCCTCATCTTCCCCCCCAGCGCACGGAGGCCGCAGCACTGCCTGCCCAGCCGGCCTCCAGCAGCACGGGCAGCGTGCCAGGAGCTGGGCTGTGGCAGCAGACCAAACAGCTCAGAAACCATTGCCTCCTGCGGCTTGGTGCACAGGTTTGGGGCTGTCCCCTGCTCTCAGCTCCAGCCTGAGTGGGACCTCCCAGCCGAGGTGGCCGCGCGCTCTGTGGGACAGTGCGGCCGCTCGCGGTGCGGCTGCCCCGATAGTTTTGGAGCTGTGGAAGCCAGCTGTCATGACCTTAGGCAAACAGCCGCTCCTTCTGCTTTGTCCGCAAGAGCAGCGCTTCTGCCAAGGGCTCCAGACCTCCAGCAGCCCAAGTGAACACCTGTGGGGATGGTTTGCTCCTGCCTCTCCAGGGGAGTGCTGCAGACACGTCTTCCAAAGAGCTCGGGGTGCCGGCTGCTGCCAAAGGACTGAAGGCCGCTCCCCTGCGAGCAGGCCGTCCAACACCCTACCGTGTACAGTATTGTCTCTGCTGTTCCTGTCCATTCTAATCAAGAGTCAAAGTTGCTTTTCTTTTTTTTTTTTTTTTTTCCCAATTCCACTCAATGGTACATGAAGGCAGGGCCTCAGGAGGAGCTGGTTCCCGGGGCTGTCACTTTGGGCTGAAGTTTTTAGTTCTGTGTGAAGTTGGTGCTTTTCACGGCGCACACGGCGTTCCCCGGCACGCTCGCTGCAGCGCGGCCGCGGGAGCTCAGCTGTAGCTGACTCAGACCTCGGGGGGGTCTGGGCTCTGTCCAGGTACATGTTTCACTGCAGATAATGAAGTGTTGCTACATGGATGCTCAAGAAACAAAGGGCTTTTGCTCATTAGCTCCAAATAACCAAGTGCCTTTCTATATATGCGGCTACCTTTTACAAGATGAGTGTTTTCTGTGGAATGAAGCCAGTTCCGTGCCTGGCTTGTTAATACGATGGCCCTCTGCCTTTTTCTTTTTTTTTTAACTACTTGTAAAGATAATATCTCCTTAAGGTGGTATTTTATCTCGTAAGTTGTAGAGTAACCATTCACAAGCGCATTTTCCTATATTAATAATGGAAAATATTTGCTTATTTTTACATTTTTTATAAAAGTCTTTTATGAAAATAGTTGCTGCCAAATGTATAAGCAATTTTTATCCCCAGAATAAAAAGTATGTGCCCAGTGTCTGTGTGCTGCTGTTTTCATTTTGTTTTCCTGGCTGCCTGTGACACAGCCACTGGCTTATAAATGAATCAGGGGTGCTCTGTCTCAGCACCACGTGAACCCCACCTCTTAGCTCCACCCAAGGGAGCTGGAAGAAGCCTGGTGTGGGTGTAGCAGATGGATTTTGGATCTCTTTGTTAGCTGAGAAGGGGGCAGAAACCAGCAGGCAAGCAGCTGGGCATACTGGGAAGGATGGGGAGGGACTGGGGTGGGTCCTTTCCTGGGCACTTTGGGTGAGAGCTCTTGCTTGCCTGGGGGAGCCAGGGAAGGCTTTTAGGCAGGTGGTGAGTGAGTGTGGGCCAGGCAGTGCACAGTGGGGCTGAGGAATCACTCACTCTCAGGTCCTGCTTGCTTCCCTTGGCTGTTTCCTGTCCTTCCACTAGGGAAGAGGACCCTCATCCACCCTGGAGCTGGGGCTGCCTCCCTGGCTTTGTCTTAGCAGTTGATGCATGGAATCCTTAAGGTTGGAACAGCCCCCTAAAATCATCGAGTCCAACCTTTAACCTGGCACTGCTGTGTTCATCCCTTAACCACATCCCCAAATGGCACATACAGATGTTTTTGTAACATTCCAGGGATGGTGATTCCACATCCTTCTGAGCAGCCTTGATCCAATGCCTAACTGCCCTTTCATTGACAAAATTTTCCCTCGTGTCCTATCTAAACCTCCCCTGGTGCAATTTGAATTTCATCTCATCCTGTTGCTTCTTACCTGGGAGAAGAGACCAACCCCCACCTGTCTACTGCCTCCCTTCAGGTTGTTGTAGAGAGTCACAGAGTCCCCCCTGAGCCTCCATTTCTCCAGACTAAGAAGATGTGTGATTCTCCAGCCTCTGAAACAGGGAACCACCACTCCTCTGGGCTGGTCTCAGGCTTGAAGAGTTTGACTTGGGCAATCAGAAAACAAGCTGTCAGCAGCTGCTGAGCTGTGTTTGGAGCACAGAGGTGCCACTGAAGCCTTGGGCTCCACCGGTGCTCACCTGGCGGTTCTCCAGCTCTTGCTGTGGACTCAGATGGAGCCAGTAGCTGAATTACGATGCTGAGCTGGGGGTAAAGTTGCTGGGGGTATTTTAAGGGTTTAATATTCAAACAGTGCAGCTCCTTTATCTCCTGGTAGAGCCAGCTGGGTGAGTCCAAACCTCCGGGAAGCATTCACCCATGTTCTCCCACAGCTTGCACATCTGTGCCAAAGTTTAGTAAGCTCTGTTGAGCCCCGGGCACAGCAGCATGGAGCTCACTGGTGCTCAGGCTGAGACTTGAAGCTGTGTCTCCTCGGGGCTGCTCCTCCCCAGCCTGGGATGGCCAGGGGCTTGTGGAAACTTGCTGTGTTGTATCCAAACTGAACCATCCAGGCAGGGAGCTGCTCCATTCCTTATCTAACAGAGGAGTACTGGAGGAGCCTCAGGTTCTTTGGGGGAGCTTTTTCATTCTTTTTTCGCAAATCAAGGGTGGAGTCCTGTTTTCTGGGGAGTTGCTATGTTTGCAGGGTTTTGCCATTGATCAGCTGATGTCTGGCAGGTTGTTTCTTTCAGAACTGATAGGAGGCAGCAGCTGTGTTTGAACACGAGGTTTCACCCCTTGGATCCCAGAGGATGCCTAGCAAGCAGCAGCAGCTCTGTCCCACCGTGTGAGTGAAGGAGAGAGGTCTGATCCTCCTCCCTGCCCAGGGCAGAAGCCAGACCTGCCTCTGCACGCCGGCAGCGAGCTGCTCCCTGTGGGTGTAGCAGCGTTCACCGGCTGCACGTTTCAGCAAATGCTGCTGCAGAGAGCCCACGGCAGATCCCATGGCTTGAGCCTAACAGCAAGCTCTCCATGTGGGGGGAAGCTGGGATCCTCTGCAGGTAGCTGGATCCTCTGCAGGTAGCTGGATCCTCTGCAGGTAGCTGCCTCCGGGGTCACACTAATGCTGGCGAGCACCAGGCCCTCAAGGGCCGCTCCCCTCCTTCCCACCAGCCTCCACCAAGAGTTTTGGGGAGGGAGAGCCAGGCGTAGGCCGGAGCTGGTGGAAGCAGGATGATCTTTCAAAGCTGCTCTGGTCCATCAGGAGCCAGTGAAGTGACGCTGCAGAGCAGCGTGGTGGCAGCAGGAGCGTGGAGCATGGAGAACTCCAGCTGCCTCCCCCAGGTGCAGAGGGGCGAGGAGCAAGGACCATGGCAGAGAAGGCTGTGCCAGACCTTGCCAAAGGGCTCCAGCTGCTGGGACCGGGAGCTCAGCCCTGTGGCAGCAACCTCCCCGGGCTGGGGCTGCAGGGAGCCGCCTGGGGCAGGGGCAGAGGGGGGCTGCTGCTGCGGGAGCTGCCCCTTCCTCCCGGAGGGACAGAGTGACGAAGGCTTGTGTCACGGCCGGGCCCCAGGGCCGGGCATCCTCCCCGCTATCTGGCGGCATCGCCAGCCCCCGGCTGCAGGCTGTTTGCACATCCCGGCGTCCCGCATCCTGCTCGCAGACATCACCGGCAGTTCAAACAAGGGCGGTGTGTGGTGACGCATGGCACAGCCGGGTCCATCCCTTGGCTGGGGACAGGGGCAGTGCCAGGCGGGTCAGACCCATGGCCCGGCCGCTGGTCGCAGGGATGTCCTGGCCGGGATCGGGGACTCACCCCCGGGGCTCACCCACGCCAACCCCCGGGCAATCCAGGGCTGGCCCAGCGGGCATCCTTGCCAGGTGCCAGGCTGCTCTGGATTGGAAGATTATATCTGTATCGCGGGAGCAATTAATGATGATTGCAGGGGGTTTATTGACCAACTAGGACAGGTTCTTCCTGTCTGTTTATGGAGACATGCAAACTGAAGATCTGGGCAATTTTCCAGCAAAGTGAGGGGGGTGGAGGGGGGTCAGCAGTAAGACTTTTATGGTGAGAATCACCTGAGGAGGGCAAACAGATGCTGGTGAGCACCAGGCTATAAAGGGCAGCTCCTCTCCTCTTCTGTCCCGGTGACCGCGACCAGCCACTATTTCTCACCATCTCCAGACAACAGGTGAGGAAGAGGACTCTAACAAAGCAGCTGGGGCCTCGGGATGCTCAGAGCTGGCCCACGGGCAAACAGGAGCTGGTCCCTCTCCTCGGCAGCCCCGGGGCTGAGCTCTGCCCTCGCTGGATGGGGCAGGCTGTGATGCTGCATTTTTCAGCCCTGCATTGACTTCTGTCGCTGCTTCTTTGATGGGAAGATGAGCTGAATTTGCAAATCGGCTCCAGTGCCCAGGGATTAGCCCAGATAAAAGGGAACTGCGCTGATGTGGCGGATTTGCCTCCCCAGCCTGGGCAGCGCTACGAGCTCGGGGTGTGAAAACGCCGCCGTGCACGCAGTGCCTGCAGCCCCACCTGTGCCATTGCCTCGCTGGGGTCCTCCGACCTGTGTCCCCAGAGAGCAGCTTGGCTCTCCCGAATGCCTCCTGCCGAGTCTGGGACTGGTGAGGCCAGGACAATCTGCTGCCAGTGTGGGCTGGAGACTCCAAGCCATGCCTGTGGCACGGGGTGCAGGCCTGGGGCAGTGACCTGTGCCGGGGGGCAGACAGGGAGCCACAGCCTGTCACCTCCTCCAGGCGGCTCAGAGGGGCCAGGCTCAGCCCACAGCCGGGCAGGCTTGCACTTTCTGGGCACAGATAGTAGGGACTTCCTCTGTCCCCAAGGGACCTTGTGTGACCCTCCCGAACCTTTATAGGAAGCAAGGAGGATGGCGGCATCAGCCAGACTCGCCCTCCTGCTGCTGGGCTGCGTGGGGCTCCTGCGGCCAGTCGGTGAGTGCCACGGCTCGCAGGGCAACTGCTTTTGTAGCTGGGCCAGGAGGGAGCCACGCTCTTCCCCAGGCAGTGATGCCGCCTGTCCTCATGCCTGCCCACCGCTCTCCCCAAACAGACGGCAGGTTCATAAACTACTGCCCCGATGGCTGGTCCTACTACAAGCTCAGCTGCTTCAACTATTTCCCCGTGCCCCGGACCTGGGACGAGGCTGAGGTAAGCCCACAGAGGTATACAGGGGAACAGAGACCCCTCGTCTCCCTGAGGCGCCCTGGCACTGACACCTCTCCCTGCAGAGTTGGTGCCAGGACGTCCAGAAAGGCGCCCACCTGGCCTGGGTGGAGGATGCCCGCGAGGCAGCCACCCTGCAGAGAACCATCTCCTACTACCAGCGTGTGCAGCCCGTCTGGATTGGACTCCGAAAGAGTAAAGAGGTGAGGTGTGGGTAGCAGGGGTGATGGGGGGCTGGGGGACAGCAGGGCCATGCCTCTGACCCCCCCTCGCCCTGCACAGAGCCAGGCCTGGCAGTGGACGAGTGGGACGGACTACAGTGCCACCAGCGAGATGCCTGGGAACGGTGCCCACGGGGGGAGCTGCGCCGTGCTGACCCATCAGAGCGGTGAGTGCCCGCTCCCCGCACCACCTCCCGCGCCCGGGCTCGGCCGGCACTGCCCTGCCTCCGTCCTCCTGCAGGTCCCGTCCCCTTGCAGGGTTGCGGTGGGCACAGCTGGTGCCCGTCCTCGCCGTGCCCCCGCCAGCCCCCTGCCTGTCTCTCCCGCAGGCTTCTCCGCGTGGTCCGATGCCGACTGCTCCGGGAAGCATCACTACATCTGCAAGTTCTACCCCTTGCACTGAGCACGGCCCTGGCCCGTGGGGGACCCCGCGCCGGCGGCGTTCCTCCCGTGCCACCTCCGCGTCTCTCCCCGCAACTCCTATAAATACATCTTATAAAAGAAGAAGCCTGCAAGTGCTGTGTGAGCTTGGTGCTGATACAAAGCCTTGGGCTGGTCCGTGAGAGATACAGGCTCTGCCTCGTCTCCCCGAGCTTCCCGGCTTCCAAAGGCCCCTGTGCTGCCGGTGCGGGCAGAGCTGTTTGGGGATGAGTCCCCAGGAACTGCGGGGACTGTCGCTCTCCTGGCTGAGCACTTGGGTTTGCTCATACCAGCCCTCGGGTGCCAAACACCACAGGCGTCCCTGGGGAGCAGGCGGGGGGACAGGAGTGTCCCCAGAGTGCAGACAGGGAGACCTGGGACACAGGTGTGGGTGGGGACGGGATCTGCCGCGGGTGGGTGTGCAGGACTGGGGACAGCTGGTCCCCCAGGTGCAGACAGAGCCACAGGGATCCGCGGGCTGCAACACAGACCCATGGCCATGCTGACAGCAGCACCGGGACCAAAGGTCCCTTTAGTGTCACTGTAATCTGTTAAGCCACAAACATCACGTGGCTGTTTGCTCTGCTGCTTTGAAGATGTCTCTGCCCCCACCCAGCCCATGGGGTTCTCACCCCCCGGAGCTGCGGCACATGTCAGGCGCGGACTGCGCCCGGCAGCGCGGCTGCTGCCGGCCCTGCGCCCCGCCCGGGCCCGGGGCAGCCGCGCGGTGACCGCGGCCGTGCCGGCAAGCCTGGCCCCGGAGCTGCCGGGGCTGCGGGACAGCCCGTCCCGCTGCTCAGCCCCGGCTCCGGCTCCGTCTGCCCGGGTTTTGGGGCACACAAGACGAAGACACCTCGCAAGCTCCCCCCTCCGAAGCCGCTCTTCCCCTGCTGTGTTGGCTGGCGCTCCGTGACCTTTGAGCGCCAGGGTCCGGCAGGCTGATAAAGGCCGGGAGGGCTGTGCCGAGCTGCCCACGCAGTTTATAAAAGCACTACGCAAGGCCCATCCCGCTGTCCGTCTGTCCGGCCGGCCGTCCCTTCGTCCGCACAGTGGCCGGGGTGAAGATGCTGCGCTTGGTCGGGCGCGCCGCGCGCTGCTGGGGCGCAAGGTGGGCACTGCCGGGGCCGGAGCGAGCACCCCGGGGCGCCCAGCACCCCGCGGCTTGGCAGAGGGCATGGTGAGCACCCACATGGACCGGGGGGGCTGGAGACATAACCAGGGTAGGGCTGGGGAGCTGGCTGAGCTCTGAAACCTTGCTGGGGAAGAGGAGCCTCTCCCTCCTCCCTGCAGCACTGCCAGGCACAAGGAGCTACCAGGGATTTGGGGTGCTCCCAGCCTGGGCTGCTCGCTGGTGGCATCTCCACGGGGCCACCCTCTGTGCCCAAGGCTGCCATGGGATTGTTGCCGCTCGCTCTGTCCCACAGCCTCTCCAGTGCTGCTGGGACTGGCACCTGGCCCAAGGACGTGGGCATCCTGGCCCTGGAGGTGTACTTCCCTGCCCAGTATGTGGATCAGGAGGAGCTGGAGCGGTTTGATGGCGTGGAGGCGGGCAAGTACACACGGGGCCTGGGCCAGAAGCAGATGGGCTTCTGTGCCGCCCACGAGGACATCAACTCCCTGTGCCTGACCGTGGTGCAGCGGCTGGTGGAGCGCGGGCGCCTCTCCTGGGATGCCATCGGCCGCCTGGAGGTGGGCACCGAGACAGTCATCGACAAATCCAAGGCCGTCAAGACCGTCCTCATGCAACTTTTCCATGACTCTGGCAACACTGATGTGGAGGGCATCGACACCACCAATGCCTGCTACGGGGGCACGGCCTCGCTCTTCAACGCAGCCGCCTGGGTGGAGTCCAGTGCCTGGGATGGTGAGTACAGGCAGGGACCATGCTGTGGGGCTGGATAATGGGTGGGTGCTGCTGGGACAGGGGAAGGAGGCAGGAGGTGGCCTGAAACCCAAAGATGCTCCAACTGCAAAGGGAGCCATTGTGCCTCCAGGCTCTCTGTCACCCCTGGTTCTTGCCCATTTTGGTGCAACACCTGGCAGCATGGAGATGGGAACACACGAGGGCCATGGGATGGAGGCTTCCACCCATTGGTGGCCCTGCCACTGCCTCTGTCCTCCCCCAGGTCGCTACGCCGTGGTGGTGTGTGGGGACATCGCTGTCTACGCCACGGGGAACGCGCGGCCCACGGGCGGTGCCGGTGCCATCGCCATGCTGGTGGGACCCAACGCCCCGCTGGTGCTGGAGAGAGGTCGGTGCCGTGAGGCCCTGGGGGTGGCGAGCTGATGGGTGCCGTCCCTGGGGGCCATGCATCCATGCCCCAGCCCTGGGCAGAGCTGCTCAGCCAGACCCTGCTGGCTACTCCAGCATGCTGGATAGCCACATCCCTGTGGGCACTGTGGAGGGCTCAGGGAGGCTGCTGGATTCCAAGGGTGGCACGGCAAGCAGCACCCCCGGGTGTTTGCCACCGGGTGGGACCTCCCAGTGCCGTCTGACAGCTGGCTCTCCCTGTGCCCCCAGGCCTGCGTGGGACCCACATGGAGCACGCCTATGACTTCTACAAGCCGAATCTGTCCTCTGAATACCCGGTGGTGGACGGGCAGCTCTCCATCCAGTGCTACCTGCGGGCACTGGACCGCTGCTACGCCGTGTACCGACGGAAGGCGCAGGCCCAGTGGCAGCAGGGTGAGTGGCAGCACCTCTGAGGTGCCCAGCACAGCCCCTTGGATACTGATGGCCCCGTGTTGCCTCCCAGCTGGCATCCAGAGGCCCTTCACCCTCGATGACTTCAAGTACATCATCTTCCACTCGCCCTTCTGCAAGCTGGTGCAGAAGTCGGTGGGACGGCTGCTGCTGAATGACTTCTTGGCCTCCCCCAACCCCGACACAGCCTCCGGTCTCTACAAGGGGCTGCAGTCCTTCCGGTGGGTGCTTGTGCTCTGTCCTCATCCCGCAGCCCAGCCACGGATGTGCTGGTCTGGGGTTCCAGCTGGTCTCTCTCTGGGCAGCGGTGTGAAGCTGGAGGACACCTACACCAGCAAGGAGGTGGAGAAGGCATTCCAGGCAGCCAGCCAGGACATCTTCAACCAGAAGACCAAGCCCTCCCTGCTCCTCTCTTCCCGCAATGGCAACATGTACACGCCATCCATGTATGGCTGCCTGGCCTCCCTCCTGTCCCAGTGAGTCCCCCAAAACACTGACTTGGGGAGAGGGAAGAGCTAATTTTGGGGAGGGCACTCCCTTGGCTGGATAGAGGGGCAGAACTCATCTCCCAGTCCTCATCTCCCTGTGCCTCAACAGGACCTGATCATTTCATTGCACACAACCCTCAGTGTGGATGCATCCTGCTCCAGACCACCTCCCTGCCAGACTTTTCATCCCAGCTTGCTGGAGTTGGGCCAGTACATAAAGCCCTTCTCTCATCACCAGGAGGATGAAAACCCTTGTTGTCATGCCCAGTAGAATGAGTGACCCCATGGGAAAGGAGTCATGGGAACAGACAGGCTCTGAGAGGAACAAAAGCCTTGTCCTGGGGCTCCCTGGCACCACTGCACTCCAGGGCTACACTCCCTCAGAAATATGGCCCCAAGGCTCTGCCTGCCTACAAAGGCGGCAGCCCCCTACACTGCCCCCACAGCCCTGCATCCCCATCCCCCCTCAGCCCAAATGTCCTGTAACCCCCTCACCTCTCTCTTCAGGTGCTCAGCACGGGACCTGGCCGGCTCCCGGATCGGTGCCTTCTCCTACGGCTCGGGGCTGGCTGCCAGCATGTTCTCCTTCCGCGTCTCGCAGGATGCGGCCCCAGGTGGGCCCCAGGGGAGAGAGGGACTGGGAAGGGAGGGCAGCGCGGGGCTGTCAGTGCTGCCCTCTCACGTGTGGGGTGCCCCTTGCCAGGCTCACCCCTGGACAAGCTGGTCTCCAGCCTGGCTGACCTGCCCGCTCGCCTGGACGCCCGCAAGCGCGTGGCCCCACAGGACTTCGCCGAGATCATGAAGCGACGGGAGGAAACCCATCACTTGGGTGAGTGGGGCTGGGGGGAACTGAGCCTCCCCTCTTGGGACCCCACAGCACCCCGGAGCATCACTGCCCTCTCCCCGCAGCCGACCACGCTCCCCACGGCTCCCAGGCGGATCTCTTCCCCGGAACCTGGTACCTGACCCGGGTGGATTCCAAGTACCGCCGCGAATATGCCAGGAAGCCCATCTAGAGTGGGATCACCAGAGTGGTGAGCCCTGGGGAGGGGGATGCTCTCTTTCCTGCTGTCATCCCTGTTCATTCCCCACATCCGGGGCTGGCCTGTGTGGGAAAGTTTCCTTTGTACGGGTGGGGAATGGCCAGCAATGGCTCAGGCCCCAGAGCTGTTGGAGATGGCAGCGTCTTCTGCAAACACCTGGGCAGTGCAGGGGAATAAATGGGAGGGGGCAGCAGCCCGGCTCTGGCTCCTGGTCTTGAACGGTCTCCTCCAGCCCCAGGTCCCTCCCAGTTAACAACTACCAATCTGGATCACAGCTGCTTATGGGATTTATTCCATGGCCACTTGCCCTGCTAGACATGGGAGTAGGCCCTGACAGTCTGGGGGACTCAAGTAAGCCTCAGCCTCCAGTCACCAGTTTACTGGGGCAAGATGGCATTTTCCCCATGATGTCATTAAATTGAAATATCCTCATGGTAAAACCTGTGGGCAGGAGGGCACAGGCAACACGATGGCTCATGGGGGTTCTCGTGCCCCTTGCAGTGCTGCTCTCTGGGCCATGTCCTATTGTGGGACTGTGGCCAGACAGGACCTCAGCAGCACAGGAACCTTTGCACCCTTCAGCAAACAGCAGCAGGGCCAGGGAGCAGCAGGGGCAGGAGGGAGCGGGTTTGGGGTTGAGGACAAAGGACCACACAGACAAGGCACCACATGCTCTCTCCTTCTAGACCCTTTATTGAACGTGGGCCACCCCAAACCTAGTGTGGGGGTCAGGGATGACCATGTGCAATGATTCCCCAGCTGGGGGAGGGTCCAGATACTGTGGCCGTGGGGAGAGTCCTTGTCAGCAGTTGGGGTCTACGGCAGGTGGAGCTGGAAGATTTCTGTGACGCTTGG